ATGACTGTTGCTACTAACAGTGTTCGAACTGAGTTCGTCCAGTCTTGTGCGCGAACTCCTAACCTCCGTGCTCATTAGTGAGTAGCTTCGTGAGGAAATTCTCGAAGTTTTAGTGAGAAACTGTGTGACCAGTGAAATTAAACCCTGTCGGGTGTAGTAGGCAGTAATTACCGAAGAAAAATGAGTGAGGTCACGAGAAATTGCTAAATTTATTAGAGTTAGACACTAACACCGTTGGATTCCTGTCAGTCCAGTGCTCCAGAGGTTAGGCGTTTGCGCGCAAAACCGAAGGTCTTGGGTTCGAATCCTGAGGGTAGCAGGAGTCATGGACGCGTACTGCTGGGGTCCCATAACCTAGCTCGACGAGGCAGTCGGTGGTTAGGCATACGTAACACATGTTCCAACCACCTCAAATGATGAAGTTTCTATATTTCATGTCTTGATCTGTCATCCCTACCTAGTAGTCTTTCCCTAACCATAGAACTGCTTACTCAGTGGTCCCAGCATAAACGAGCAATGTTTGGAAGACAACTGTTATTTAATACCAGTAAACTATGAATATCTTCTACTCTTATTGGTTATGTTTCGCATCCATATAGTAGAACAGAGTGAACTACTGCATATTAGACTCGACCTTTTGTCAGTAAACGGATATCTCATCTACGCCATAAATGATGCAGATGGACAAAAGCCAGTCAAGCTTTCTGTTTCCGCGCTGAGATTTCATCATACACCAGGCCATCAACACCAATGAGACTCCCAAGATAACTGAAGCAGTCTACACACTCAACTACTTCACTCCCTATCACTAGTTCAGATGTTGATACAAGCCCATCTTGAAGCAACATTTTGCATTTTGACAGGGAGAACGGCATTCCGAACATGCTTGCATTGTTGCTTAGGATAGTCAGAAGAATTTGCATTCTGGTCATCGTCTCTACCAAATACAACTATGCCATCGGCATATGTCAGACAATATATTTTCAAATTTGAACAGAGAAATGAGAAGACATATTTTGTGAGATAGAGTATCATTTCGTGCTTTCTCGTTAGTCACATACAAGCAACATGTTATCCATGCTAAATAAGAAATTTTGACCTTAACTTCAAAACTGTATTTACACGAATTACATATTGCTTGTATGTGACTGACGAGAAAGCACAAAATGGTACTCTATCTCACAAAATATGTCTTCTCATTTCTCTGTTCAAATTTATCAAAGGGAACCAGTGTTTTGAATATATTTTCAGCTATGTGAACACGTGACCAATTCAATTGAATAAAAGTTGTTGTCGGTTACTTCTATTCTAGTTGAACTGAACAAGTAGTGTTCATGACGGGACATAAGACAAATATATATATATGTCATCTGAGTCAAGCAGAATCGGCCACAAACATGCATCGTTTCTATGAATCACAATGCTTAACTGACATGTTGCATTCTACAAATGTAAACAAACTAACTATGCAGTATCAATGATAGAAATAACAATAAAACTTTCAGTGTTCAACAACAATATGAATTAATCGATTTTTAAAGCACACCACTTGAACTGTTTTCAGTTAAATTTATTATCGAAATGTGATAGAGTATGATTATCTTGTAAAGATTATCACCAGTACGAACTCTGTTAAAGATTTAGATTGTGAAAATTAGAGCAACACGCATATATAAACGAACAGTTATTGTTGTGCTCGATTAGATCGTCATCATGTATATATGTCATATTAGAGAGTAAAAGACTGATGACAATCTAATCGAAAATGTCATATATGATGTATAAATTGATCGAAATGAGATGTTTTTTGTTGAATTTTTTGGTTCTCAAAACCATTCATCATAGTTTTAAACGATTGATTGAAAAACTTTCATCAAAACTCGCACAAAATCAAAATCAAAATGAAATTAGCGCGCACTATTTTGACAGATAAAAACAGAATGATACACCATCTCTAATAGATTAGTTTTGATAAAATGTGAAGAAACTTAATCATAAACTAAGTTGTATAGAATAGACGCGGAAACAAACAGCTAATCCTGCTGTGCATTCAACGCAGCCACACAGCCACACACACGACAAAACTTTCATGTGTGTCATTGTTTATTCTCTTTCTTCTTCGAAAAATTCACTTGTTCAATCAGTTGAACATTGAATGTGAGTTCTAATGTGTGTGTGTGTGTGTATGAATTAAATTAAATTTGTTTGTACTAACTAACTCATCTTACAACCCTGAACTGTTTTTAATGACAAAACTAATCAGATGAAAAATAAAACAAACACAAAAAACTCATCAACTCTATTTTCTTCTACTGTTGAGAGAATTTGAAATTGTACTGTGTAAATAAGAATTTTCACAATCATATTTATTATTTCTCTGTAGAATATGATTTGAAAGGAATATTTTGATAAAGTATGAGAAATAATGATTGAATTTAATAAATGAATCATTCTTAGACCAGGAACTGTTTGTTATAAAGCTGAAAGTATCGAATGACGAGTGTTTCGTCGTGGTATGAAAGGACTCATCAGTAGCAGTACGCATCGATGACTTCCGCTACTTGTAGAATCCGAGCTGAAGGTCTTCGTTTTTGCGCGCTAATGCTTAAAATGTAAACCATTGAGGAGGCATCAAATAGTTTCAGTGTGTAACTCTGATCAATCTAGGCATTTTTTGCAAAAAACCTCATCCATTTGTCATCGATAATTAGTACCTACGACATCTGACAGGGTTGAACTTCACACAGTTTCTCACTAGAACTGCGAGAATTTCTTCACGAAGCTAGTCACTAGTGAAAACCCTGTACAATTTTTTATCAGAGAGTTATGGAGATAACTTCAGTCATGAATCAAACATTGTTACACAACTATTATTAATAAAATGAAGATTCGCTGATTTGTGTAACAAACACATACAAAATGTACTGATTAATTTTATCAACTACTCAATCAGATAAGCTAATCAACAGACAGATACAACGCAGAACTTCGTACATAAGTTGCTTGCCATACCACGTCAGCACAGAGACGCAACTGTCAGTTCAAATCCAAGAGTGATAGCAACAGTAGAAGTATTAGCAGTAATGGAGAGGATTAGGGACCGAAGATATAATTCGAAAAGTATAATTCAGTGAGATAAAATTTAGAAAGAGAAAGATAGTGGTGATGAGGAATTAAGAAGGTTAGAATTTCAAAAAACATGCCATCGCAAACGACGTTGAGCCAAATCATTCAAGGTCTCTAACCATTGGTGACTTTCATCTCGCGGACCCCAACCAGGTAGTCGACAACTACCGACATGACTCAGTCCACTTGTCAATGACTTCATGCATTCTGCCATGTTTTGGTCTGGCCGCTACTAACTTTCTTCCAAACTACTCCTACACCACAAAACACAGCTCGACGAGGCAGTCGGTGGTTAGGCATTCGTAACACATGTCCCAACCACCTCAAATGATTTTTATTTGGTAGTGAATATATGGATAGTTTTTTTTGAAAAAAATCTCCTACTAAGCGAAAAAATTATTATTGAATGTTGTTAGTTATCTTTTACTGACTAATCAATCAGTGATAATTCATTGATCGATTGCTCAAATCAGTTATTCCTACGGCACATGGATAGAAGACGTGAAAGTTGAAAAACAAACCCAACTAATTAATTCCTCACATATTTGAAGTCATCAAAGACAAATGGGTGAGGTCGCGCAAAATCCCTAGATCAATCGTTGGATGCCTGCTCAGTGGTCCGATGGTTAGGCGTTCGCGTACAATACCGAAGGTCCTGCGTTCGAATCCTGTGAGGTGCAGGAGTCGTGGATGCGCACGGCCACTGATCAGTCCCATCCATACCAGGACGAAACGGTCATCATTCAGTGCTTCTTCCAGGTTTCTAATGATGCTGGTCTAACAATGAGTGATTGATGATTTCAAATGTGTAAAACAACACAAATCTCCAAGGCTTTAACTGATAATTCATTCCTCGTCATCGTAAGAGAATGTGGCTGAAGTGGAAGTGGATAGGACACATACTACGAAAAGCACGTAACTGCGTCACGAGACAAGCCCTCATATGGAACCCTCAAGGAAACAGGAAAAGAGGAAGCCCAAAGAATACATTACGCCGAGAAATAGAGAAAGATATGAGAGGAATGAACAAACATTGGACAGAACTGTTGAAGGAAGCCCAGGACAGAGTTGGTTGGAGAAAACTGGTGGGCGGTCTATGCTCCATCGGGGGTAACAGGCGTAAATAAGTTAAGTTATCGTAAGAGAGGTTCCTTTTATTCAAATTCACACTTATTCGTATTATACAAAATCAATAATCATTTGTACTTGTCACTTATAATGCAAAGTATAACTTCTTTCACGTGCTCAAAAAAAGAAGAACAATCATGAAAGTTGCACAACAAAAAAAACATCCTTAGCTAGTAGAATAAAAACTTCAGCCACATTCAGTCGGTGGTCAGGCATTCGTAACACATGACCCAACCACCTCAACTGATGAAAATATCCTAAGAGTACTATTTTTGGAAGTGTAATCCCATTGGTCGATTTCTATTGGTCAAAATTATGACCATTTTAGCTGTCAAAGTCAAATACTTCAATGTTGTCTCTTATTGGTCATCCGGACTGTCAATGTCATTTCAAATGTTCTTTCCTATCGGTCGTCCTAAACTGTCAATGTCACAGACTCTGATGCTCTTTCCTATTCGACCCTAATGTATAAATACGCACTATCTGTAAGCTCAATAAACAACTCCATCCCACGGTGTTGCGTTCTGATATCTAGGAGATTTGGAAATAGCATTTTGGGTCGTATTGGGATATTTGAATTGGACGCCACTAGGACTGATTAGCTAACTATATGTAGCAGCATTATAACAGTAACACTCATCAGTAACACACATGAAGTGAGTGATAAACTAAAAAAACAAATGACTAGTTAACAACACTTTATCAAATGAAAACAACTTGAATTTTAAAAACATTCTTCTTCTTACCATCATAGCTTGTTCACTATCAAGCCATAATAGGAGATTATAACCACTGAATGATGAATCGCGTAATAGCCATTCACCAGTGAAACCATTCAATTGACCATTATACACAACGCATACTTTACCCAAAGTGGATGGTGTAACTGGATATTCAACAATCGAATCATTTTGGCCAATTGCATGAGTAAATGCTTCTTGTAAACCAAAACGTAATTGATCTGATGTTGGATTGCATAATACACGAATGAAAATATTCTCATCTAACAGATATTCCAGCGTTAAACCATCTGAAATACAAACAGAAAAATGCATCAGTATTCATTCATTAAACAACTATGAAGATAACTACTACCTAGTAGTAACTCTAACAACTAGAAGTTTGTGTATTTGTTGAGTACAACCCATGTCTTAGTCATTGATAAAAGCTAATGGATGCTATCATTATGTTACCGGAAAGATCAGTTCAACACAACAGCATTCCAGTGAAAAGCCCCTATTAGTTGAAAGTGTAACCAATTACGTAATATGCTCGTAAATAAACCGCGTGTTATCAGATTCAAGTTTATGTATCAAACGAACAAGGAAGTCAGTATTGTTCGGAGCAGAATATAGGTGAGTCTGTCTACTGGTCCAGAGGTTAGGCGTTCGCCTGAAGTTTCTTGCGAGTAGCATAAGTCGTGGATGCGCACTACTACTCATGAGTAGTTCCATACCAGGACAAAACAGTTGTCATTCAGTGCTTCCAAGTTCCTAACGCTGGTAGTCTAACAATGATTGATTTATGATTCTAGTAATTATCAAAGTACTCGCTCAATCTTATTTTCTAAAACCAGTTAACAACATAAATATACCCTATAAATAAATTTATAGTAATTTTCTAAATTTATTTTTATTGAGAATATTAAAAGTTTATCTTTTTGCATTACTGAGGTCAGTCAGTCAGTTACAACGTAGAACTTCGGACGTGTGTACATAAGTTCATGTTGCCATACCACGTTAGCTCACAGACGCAAATGTCAAATCAAATCCCATAGTGATAAAGATAGTAAAGGTATTAATAGTAATGAAGAAGACCAGTGGGTTTGAAGATATTATTCAAGAAGTATAATTCAGTGAGATACGTTTAGAAGACAAAGGTAGAGGTGCTGAAGATTCCAGAAGATTAGGATTTGAGAGAGCTCAAAGAGTGAATGCACCTGCGCCATTGCAAACGATTCTGAGCCATGTCATTCAAGGTCTCAAACAATCGGTGACTATTGTCTCGCAGACCCCAACCAGGTAGCCTACATCCACCTACATGACTAAGTCCACTTGTCAGTGACTTCATGGGTTTGCGTGATGTTTTGGTTTAGCCGCCCCTAGCTTTCTTCCAATCTACTCCGAATTCTTTATCAAATGGATTCAGTTATATAATATAACTATTATTTTATATAGTGAAGTTTCATTCTCTGAGTTGAATGTTTTAGTTGTGGAGCTGTCATCATTGTTCTTCAGCTGAACAATATCAACATCAGTAGCATAACTTCGGATAGCAGAAGTGAAGTATTTTGAATTTCTTCACATATTATGTACGCATAGGCTGTCGTTTGTTTGTTGATTACTTCATCATCTCAAAATATTACATTATTGAACTGTTCAAACTCACAAATTCTACATCAGCTATCTAGAGGTGCACAATGCTGACAAATGTTAAACTTGGATTAAAAACCTATGTAAACAATTCTCGCTGTTTTCTTCACAGATATCAATTCATGATGAAAACTGAAATATTTGACTGTAGGCGATATATGCATATAACTGTCTCTAACAATCGGTTACTATTGTCTCAAGGACCCCCCAACCATGTAGTCTACATTTACGGACATGGCTCAGTCCAGTTGTCAGTTAGCTTCATGGATTTGTGCAATGTTTTGGTTTGGCCGCCGCTAGCTTTCGTCCAACCTACTCATACACCACAAAACATAACTCGACGGGGCAGGTTGAAAGTCAAACCCTCTTTCTTAAACCACTGAGCCATCGATCCACGGATAATCATCAACTTACATGTTCTTATGATGAAAACATGTGGAATTTAAGACTCTACACACACACACACACCATTAGAAGCATATTCTTAACTCTTTCAAATATAGAAACATCGGAGAAGACAATGGCTGAACATCTTCAACATTTATTTGAATGAATTAAACTGCTTTTACAATATTTACTGGTTTCACATAAACAATTTTTTTTCAGTTAAATACACTCTAAATGTACAACTCTAAGGCTACAAAAAATAAAACATCTATGATTTAGTCTATTTAAAGTTGATTTACTTCAATATAGAAAAGCTTCATAACAGTATTCTACAAAACCGCACACTAAATGGTGCCATAAAATGAGATTGAGTTTAGTTGATGAAAAACAATCCAATCATCTATGACAAACACGAGTTGGGCTTTACGGTGCTCATAACACATTATCATAGTACGATGAGATTGAGAGAAAAACAGTTATTAAGGAGATAAAATAAAGAAATTTCTGCATTTTAAATGATTGTTAACCAATTTTACAGCTATCAAGGTGGTGGTAGTAAGATAATGAACGCCTAACCTCTGGACCACTGCGCCGGCATCCTAGGGTGTTTAATTTCTAACCCTGATCAATCTAGGGATTTTTCGCACAACCTCACCCATTTGTCTTTGGTAGTAGTTACTGCCTACTAAACCCGATAGAGCGGAACTACGCTGATCATATCTTCTCACTAGAACTGAGCGAATTTCCTCACGGAGCTAGTCGTCACTAGTGAGCATATTGTACAGTTCCTTTTATTTGCTGTAGCATATATTACAAAAAGGAGACAGGATGAAACACAATTCAATGACAACCAATGAAGATCGAGGTCGACAGAACAAACTACGTGTCATACACGTGAAGAAATTCAAATACTTCACTTCAACTATCTGTAATTTATGCCGATGATGATGTTGTTCAGCTGAAGAACAGTGATGAAAGCTTCACAAGCAAAAATCATCCAGTTCAGAGAAAAAAACTCCACCACAATCATCCAACTGAGCTATAAATTGTAAACTACCATCTCAAAAACTGTCACAAAATAATCCATCCAGGATTCAAAACCAGGACCCATCGGTCTTGAGCGCGAACGCCTAACCTTTGGGCCACTGAGCTGACCGGCATCCAACGGTGTTAATGTCTAACTCTGATTGATCTACGGATTTCGCGCAACCTCATCCATTTGTCTTTGGTAGTTACTGCCCTACACCCGACAGGGTTGAACTCCATTAGTCAGGTCTTCTCATCACTAGAACTCCGAGAATTTCCTCACTAGTGAGCACTGTTACGATATTTTGGAAGTTTGTGTTTTTACACATTTGAAATCATCAATTTTTGATACAACAATGAGAAGATGTAATTTGATCTGAAAAAAACATGTTTATGATGTATTTGCACACTATCCATTTCGAACAAACTGGTCACACACATGTATAGTCTTGTCAAGGCATTTTGACATGAAAATTAATAAAAGGTCAATTAAATTAAAGTTCAAACGGACATAAGGTTATAATTGTAAATGAAGGAGAGAGAAAATTAACGTATAGAAGAAAGAATAAGTAAGGTTACGAAATTGTCACATTAACCTTAAAGATTAAGAGAGTTAAGTCTAGGTTACAACATAAGGCGGAGTTGAGTTTACGAATAGCCAAGGCTTCCATAAACCTCAAAATTCGTGCTTCAACGTTTCTAAACAATGTTTTGAAGGTTGTTTTAATGTCAATCTTATGTCCTGTCTCAATGATGTGTTTTGCGATCAATAAATATGGTTTTCTGTTTCCCACGTTTATCGGGTCATCTGAAGTTAACTAATCTGGAAGCTACTTAGGTACATACTCCATGACCCTTTATTGCAAAGTTCGATTAATCCTCCCTATGTATAGTGTGTTTAGACAAACATGTAAATTGATAAATGCAATGGGATGTGATGTAATCATCGATCGAGCAATGTTTAGGTCTATGTGGAATCATGGGCTTAGTTTTTTCAATGACAATCAGTTTAGCAGAGTAGAATGATATTCTCTGTGAATGCTTTTCATCACTGTCTTAAAATTAAACCATTTTGATTAGCCTCTAAATGGTAAAGTGATATAAACATTTTTCTTTTCAGCAGAATAAAAATACAAGCTTTTGTCCCTATCTAATTGACCTTTTATTAATTTTCATATTAAAAATGCCTTGACAAGTGTGCGGACTGGGTTAAAAATCAGTTTCAGTAGCTCATACATATTCGTCATTTATCTCTTATATAATGAGAAGACGTAACCAGTGGAGTTCAACCCTGTCGAGTGTAGTTGGCAGTAACTACTGAAGACGAATGAGTGGCGTCGTGCAAAATCCTTGGTTTGACATTAACACCACTGGATACCGGCCTGGTGGACCAGAGGTTAGGCGTTCGTTTGCAAGACTGTAGGTCCTAACTTCGAATCCTGTGAGTATCAAGAGTCGTGGATGCACACTACCACTGACGAGTTCTTCCATACCAAGACAAAATGGCCGTCATTCAGTGCTTCCAGGTTTCTAATCGTGCTGGTCTAACAATGATTGATTGATGATTTCAACGTGTAAAAAAACTTTGATCTCTATAACTGTAACTGAAATAAAAATCAGATCATACTTCTCGTTTCTAAACATTGTCTAGACAAGTGACAAAATCCTAGTTTTAGACAAAAAAGTATTTCCGATAAAAACGGAGGAGAAGCTTAGACACTTCCAACTTTCCATTGATAACTTGTGAATGACTGATTCAAGTATTACAATACAAGATTATAACATTTTTTTTCCATCGTTTCATTTTACTTGTTAAAATGATAACAATTTGAAGTAGTACACTTTATTCATATTTTTTTTAAAGTATACAGAATAAAACTAATTTGTCAATAAGAAGTGTATTATAGAACAACTCTTCCTGTGATAATGTACAAATTTTTTGTACGTTATAAAGAAAAAAATCACTTGAACGAGACAATAAACACATTTTATAAACAATTTGTATTACGGGGTTGTTGTGAAGATTGTTAAGTTACACATTTTTTGAAACCATGAATCAATCATTGTTACACCACCATTAGAAGAAACCTGGAAGCACTGAACGAAGGCGGTTTCGTCCTGGTATGGGACTACTTATTAGCAGTACGCATCCACGACTCCTTCACCTCGCAGCATTCCAACCCGGGACCTACGGTATTGTGCGCGAACACCTAACCATCAGATCATTGAGCCGGTATTTAACGGTGTTAGTGTCTAACTTGATCAATTCATGGAGTTGTGCAACCTCATACACAGTCTTCGGTAGTTACTGTCTACACCCGAACAGACTGAACTTCACTGGTCACTTCTCCTCAACTAGAAATCGGAGAAGATTCCTCATGAAGCTAGTCATTAGTGAGCACACGTAATTTTCATTACAGGACTGTGAACACACGGAAATTATGATCCTTCTATAGTGTTATCATTTCATGAAGAATATCAAGCATACATTTAATTCAAAAAGGTTTTTTTTACATAAGAAAATCAGAAAATAATAATAATAATAACTATAGTCATAATCATGTTCACAATAATTTCCACTGAAATGAAAAAATTCCAATCTATAGTCAGTCAGTTAGTCAGATGATACGTGCGTAAGTACATCAGTTCATGTTGCCTTACCACATTAACATAAAGAGATGCAATTGTCAATTAAAATCCAATAGTAGAAGAGGAAGTAAAGGTATTAGAAGTAATCGTAGAGGTTAGGATTAGAAGATATTATTCAAGAAAATCGTAATAATTATTCCTGATAACAAAATGCTTAATACAATGTGAGTTTGACTTAACACAAATAAACCGGTGTCCTAATAAGATACAAGTTGTCTATTACTGAAATCATGAATGAATCATTGTTAGACCACCCGTTTGGAACTTGCAAGCACTGGACGGCCGTTTCGTCTTGCTATAGGACTCATCAGTAACAGTGTGCATTCACAACTCCTGATACTCACAGGACTCAGACGCAGGAACTTGCGCACGAACGCCTAACCTCTGGACCACCGGGGCCGACATTCAACAATGTTAATGATGGTGTAACAAATGAATGATTCATAATTTCAGTAACAAACAACAATCATAACTAATACTTCCGCATGAACTGATGTTTATCTGGGTTCTGAACACAGAAATAACGAATCCATTTTAAGAATATCACAGTTATTAGAATACTTAAAAATGTATTACAAGATTCTAATGAAGTTACTGTCTGCAAAAACATCCATCATTTACATTTTCTTACGTTGAATGTATTTCCAGTCAGCAACAAAGTAGAACCTTGTACGTACATACATAAGGTCAGGTTGCAACGACGGGTGACCCTTTCTTTCCGAGTCCTTACTGTCCCGTTCAGTCGGACGGCGCACAAACGACTATCTACAGGGATCCAGTCTAGGAGAGATAGTTCTGCCCTACGACTCAATATTATACCTACACCAGCGAGACCCCGGGAAGCAGCATCAGGGCTAACGGATACACGAAGACTGAATCGGGCTGCTTCTTTGTTTTGACAAGGCGAAATCAGACTAATGACTTTACTAGGATCCTGTATGCGCGTTTCCGAGACGCAGCATACATCGATTGAGCGAGATTCTAATGTCCTAGCTAATGATGCCTGTTACCCTATTTGACTCAGTGTCCGAACATTATATGCTCCAACATGTAGTGTGGAACGAGGTTTCAGCAGACCAGGAATGACATTTCGTGAACTTGCATCGTTTGCATTAGAGGTGCAGTGTGATAAAGGAATGTGAGAAGAGTTAGTCGTGGAGATAAGAGGTACTAAGGGGTGTAGGAAGGATTTGATTTTGACCAATTTGCTCTCGTTTGCTGTTGTAGGTATGAGGGCGGTTGTCATTTCCCGGCTACCCACACCGTGGAAGGTTGTTTCTAGACGAACCTGAAAATGAAGATAGATTAGTGTTGGTCTTAACGACCTGGGTCAGGTTGCCATACCACATTAGCACACAGACGCAATCTTCAATTCAAATCCAGGAGTAATATCGATGGTAGAAGTATTAGCAGTAATGGAGAGAAGATTAGGGATCGGAATATATTATTGAAGAAGTAGAATGTTGTGAAATAAATTCAAAGGGAGAAAGATGATGATGCTGAGGAATTCAAAAGATTAGAATTTGAGAGAACACAAAGAGTGGATGTACCTGCGCCATTGCATTCAAGATCTCTAATCATCGATCGCTATCATCTAGCCTACTCCAACCAGATAGTCTACACTTACCAATGCATTTCAGTCATATCAAGTGTAAATCAGTGTACTATTCATTTGTTGAGTCATATTTTTTTGAATATAACCTCGCTCTATACAATCAGTTTGCCTAAACTGAAGCTGAAAATAATGACAAACTCACAATATATTAACTAAAGAGCAAGTAGTAGTAGTGTGGTGCGCGCTACTTATAAGTAGTATATGACGCAGTCAGTCAGTCAGTCAGATGCAACGTAGAACTTCGTACGTAAGCACATCAGTTCATGTTGCCATACCACATCAGAGTATATGACGCGAGTGTAAACGTAATGTCTGGCAGCAGAAGATGGGGGAAGATCAAGAAAGGAAGAGTGGGAACACAATGGAATTTGTATGAAACGCATGAATAGTGAAATGTCAGACAATGGACTGATAATGGATTGAAGATTTGCAAATTAACCGTTTACGATATGGTTTTCCTATTTTTACTGAGTAACTCTGTAATTTTCGTTAAATACAATTTGGTTGACCTCACCTGTGTTCACCTTCACTACAGTAGTAGTAGCCTAGTAGCCTGCCGCTTAACGATAGTATTTTTATTTTATAACTTCAAACGAAACTACTAACTGAACAAGAAATCGACCTCATGTCAAACTGGACTGCTACAATTACTGAGTCATCCTTATCGATAGCTTGTAAACAAACATATTAAGAGAGAGGCAAAGAGATTGAGTAAAACTAATCATTGTTATGACAAAAATATTACTATCTCATTTCTCTCTATGAGTATAATAAAACAATTCACTCTATATGATAAATGGATGGATGCATACTCGTGCAAATAAAACGCGCAAGTCAGTTTCTTTTATTTTCCTACTGATACCAAAGATGACATTTTTCATATTTCTATATATTTTTTTCGTTTTGATAACAGTCATTTTCAAAATAGGACAAAATGTAAATAAATCTCTAGTAAAAGCATGAAGAAGGGGGGGATAGAAATAATCATTGTCTGAATTGTGTACTGTAATGACTCAGTAGAGAGGAACGCACAAAGCTCACCCACACACACACACACACACACACTCGTAACTCTAAGTATTAAAGAGAACAGCATAGTTCATACTGCTAGAATACAATGCCCACCATGTGTCAAATTGTAAATGGGCAAATAATTCACATATTTTCTTTTATCAAATACTTTATGTTTGACTGAAATAAAATATTGACCTAATACTACTCTTACATATTTAGTTGGTTGATTAAATTCTGTAAATAGTGACGCATAATGAATGAAAAAAGGGGGAATGATTTGTTCTTTTTTGAAAGAATGAAGAAAATTTCCTATGAGAAGAAATGCTGAGATATTTTTTTTTACTCTGGCGGATTCATTTTCAAAGTAATAGATTGAACGTGATCGGAAGTAAATTGAGTAATTTTTTTGAACGACTAATGATAGTGATTTCGTGAAATATTACTACACGCTTTGAGTTATAGAATTCAACTGAATTAAAAGATTCAATTAAAAATATCTACTGATTACATCAAAATTGAATGAATTCTTTAGAAAATCTTTCTGACATTAATTTTTAATGTAATTGCAGCTATCAGGTAAATAGATTAAAAAAACATAACGAAAGATTTTGTTACATAATACTGATTGAAAAGTACCATAGAAAAATGTATAGACTACTTACATTCTTTACTATCAACTGCATTCACAGGTTTGCTTAGACAATTTAGAAATTGTGCATCCAACTTTTCCAAATTCCCACCAAATGCAGCCAACAAGCCTATTGGAAACAATATAACAACATTGATTTTACTTTTGCATATGAAAAACTCAATAAAAACAGGTGAATGACAAAGTTGTATACACAATAAATCCAGGACAGGTTTTACTGAACGTAAGTTACATACACCAAATACAGGCCAATTAAATCATCTTGCTCCTCAAATATTGCTAGAGAGAATCGGTTTGAAAATAGTGATGTCACAACCGAAACTCAAAAAAATTACCAACCATGTCGTACCTTTAACACTAAGTACTTAGATATATTATTTCCGACATGGGATTACCACTCACTAGTTACCTGTCGTTCTTCAGTAACACAAGCGTTGATTTGAACTATTTCTCATGGTGACAATAAAAGACAGTATAGCACATAGAAACTTGATAATCGTAGCTACTACAAACTAGTAACTTATATCATAATAATTAATGTCAAAGTTTAGTTGTGAACTAAAGCTTGAACCATATATTGACTAAAAAAACCACCTTACTACTAAGCCATAAGCAATGTTAAACCTAAATCAAATATTTATCGCTTTAAATCTCTATCTAATAATCGTGAACCACTGATCATCTCTCTTTTAGGTGGAGTTTACTATGAAAGGCATTAAAGTGAAACGCTGAAAATATAGGTGACATGGTTTATAGTTTCATTGTCTCCCCCTAAAATCAATTTTTTAACACTCACTGCCTTCATAAATAAAACCACAACGTAATATTTTTTTCAAAAAACAACCTGAGATTTACAACTTTAAGAAAACGGATTAGTTTTAGTTTCGTTGAATTTCAAAATCATCAGGCAACGTATCAATGTGGTTTAGTGACCGTTAACATATTCAGGCATACTACTGAATATAATGCTTTAAATTCAAGAAATTCTTTATCCAAGCACTATCTACATCAAAAAATTAATAAAAATTATGAATTTTAGTAATCTTGAGAAGAAATACTAGTCGCCGTTAACTGAGAAGAAGAAGTATTTAGGCCTTAATTAAACACCAGAGTGAAGAGTATTTAGTATAGATAGAACTCAAATTATTTAGGTAACGCCGCCCTACTTAAACAGTATTAATGACGACACTTGTCAAGAAATGAAATTCTGATTGTAACAGTTCAAAGATCATTAGTTAGTGCAAAAGTAGATAGTACATAGAAACTGTTAACAGTGATTTAATAGCACACCAACCTTCTCATGTTATCTTATGTTAACAATTACTACTTTAGATTTTCTTCCAATAATTCTCACATCTGTATTAATACACTTTATTCTTGTAGACAAATAAATGAAAACTACCGAGAATGAGTTTTATGAAACACGATATGTTAACTAAAATCAAGAATGCCTCATAGAAGGTACTACAATCACTATGACAGACAGTCCTCTAAGTACAATAATACAGAAATCAATATAAGATACTTCCCATTCAAATGAATGGCTACATGCTTCTTAGGAATAGAGATGACGTTGCATACCTCTAGAATACTCCAAAACACTTTGAAAACAATTTCATGTGTGTAAAATATTGAACAGGTACTAAGATGAAATTTTATCGTCAGTGTAATTTAAGCCAATCAAGTAATAACTTGTGTCGAATTTTAATAAAATATGACGATATTAAAAAAAGATGAGTTTCCCTGATTTATTAAAAAAAAGAGATTAATTCACAGACTAATAAGATCAATTGATGCCAGGTTCTCATCGCTAAGTTCATCAGATTTGAATTCTGGAGACATATATTGATTGTTGAAAGAAATCACACTAGTTCTGGCGATGAAACCTTGCTTGCGAAATCGAGCACTTACTTTCATCAGTTATCTCTGATTAGACCTAACTAAGGAGTGATTCGTATAAAAATAAATGAAATAACTATCAGATAGTTAACACTACGGTATAAAGATATTTCAAATTTCTTGTAATTTCAAAAAGCTTGTCTGCGTATGTATACAAGTGAAATGTTTGTAAGTATTACGCTGTAGTTAATTGTGTTCCATAACATTATGGCTCTTACATATACTATTGTCATGATGATATTATACTTACAACTAAGGTCTAAATAAAATGAGTTGATTTATGCAGGCCGTTACAAATACATCATCAATAACTCACTAATATCAAAAATATATCCCTAATATTTGAAAGTGTTCGATATGATGACAATTCATAAAAAATTATTTGAAGAATTATATGATAGAAAAATGTGAAACACCACCTGGAACCGTACCGAAAGAATAAGAATCGAGCACAAAGAAATCAAACGGTTTATACTAGCTCGTGAAAGAGATATTGGATATATTGTGAGATAATCAGGCAAAGTAGAACTATTAAAACTGATTTTTTTATTTTCAAGTGATCAGTTTTACATTGGCAGTATATGTAGGTAAAAAAAGATTCGCCTTACATACATTCATGGGTTGCAAAACATTTGAGATATGAATGATTGATAAACATTTATTGCTTTAAAAATCTTCCAATATCATAATTGAACTTGGAAATTTCAGACAACAATAAGCAATGCTATAGCGGGAAACTAATGGTACTGTGTTTCTTTACTAAGCTATCAACCCATCATAAGCTTATTCTAAATGAAAGACCTCTCATATTATACTTAAAATAATTTTGAATTCTGAATAAGATGTAACTTCATTGGAAATGACTCCCAGTTTCGACGTATTACAATCATGCTGAGATCGTTGTAGAGAACGTTTCTTTTACTAAGCAAACTTTGGGGTTTTTCCTAATACATATTCAGCTTCGGTACTTCGAACAAACATTCGTCAAAACCCCTGAATTAGTGGATTAAGGGTGATGAGCAAAAATACGACAAGGAACCTTGAATTCTGCAAAACTTATTGCGTTTTAACAGATTTCTTTCTAAATCTTTTTGTGGCTGATATGGACAGAATCAGGAGTTTATTAGCCAGCTAATAATGTATGAAACACATGTTTGAGTTTGAAATGCAGATCCTCAAAGTCCCATTAGAGTGTAAGACAACATTTACACGTTACTGAAATTTAATATTTAGTTAAAAACAATGAAAATTAGCAAAACAGATATATACCTCACCAAAATATGTATCCTTAATGTTTGAGTGCACAAAAAGTGTATAAATTTCTTCAAATCTAAATTCTTACCATCGTAAACGAGCTTTGACAACTTCTCCTTATCTGATTCTTGGTCAACACGCCCACCAACAATCAGAACAGATTGGTAAGCCATTAACGCGATAAATGAAGATCTCTTTCGAAAATGACCTTGCAGAGACACCTCTGATACTTAGGTCAAACAAACTAACAATCAAATTTCATCAGGTGATAACTTCTCAACATGAATGATGCCTGTAAAGTGAATAGCGTTTTTTGGCATTTCCGTTCGACCCAACTATCATAGGATGTTAAAAACCTACTTTCACTCACTTATGCATAATGTTTACAACCTTAGAATAACTGCATATCATTCAGCCAACGAGAGATGAACGACCTCACTGTAAACTCATTGTATCAAGGTAAAATTACCTCATTCTCATTTTGGCTGTCTAAAATCACCGACCCATTTGATGTATCAATTCACAGAACAGCAAACAAACCAGAAATATATTTATTAAAATTTCGGAGATAGTTCAGTCTAATAAGGCAAGTGCAAACAATCTTTGCTTTTATAGAGCAATAGTTGTCCGTACAGAGGTTTAATGAATTACTTACGTTAACCTGTTACCTCCAACTGAGCATGTCTCACTAACCGGGGTTCTTCAACCTAGTCTCTCGTGAGCCTTCTTTCCCAACTGCTGTACATTATTTTCTCCAGTTCACAAAGTAATGATCTCCTTCTCTTTTATTCTAACAATGGGGATTCCAAGTGAAAGCTTATCTTGCGATATGCTTGAGTGCTTTCTTTAATGTGTATCCATTCCTCCTCCAGTGATCTCCCTAGTTCCTCCCCCAACAAGAGTCTGGTTTGTTCTTTCCTGCAATCGGTTATTGCTATTGGTGTATGGCCACAGTTTTTGAGTGAATAACGGTCAATAAACATCTATATCTTGTTGATGTTCTTGATAGTGATACGTCTTCTATGATCCTTCTGAATTTTTTATTGGTGCAGATGTGATCGATTTGGTTATTCGTATTGGGAACCGGTAAAACCTAAGTAGCTCTGTGTGTTTGTGTAGGAATGTGATGCTTCCCACAACCAGTTTGTTGAAGACACATATGTTTGTAAATCCCTCACCATTTTCTTCCCTATCTCCCAACCCGTATTGTCACATGATGTCTTCATGTCCCCTGTTGTCCATTGCAACCTTGGCACTTAGGGTTCCCATCGCAATGGAGGAATCCCTTGTTTGTCGTTTTTTCACGGTTGACTGCAGCTCTCTTTAGAATTGATCTTCATGGTCTTCACTGTGATCCCTTCCCCATTTGTCTTGAAGGATGCTATGACGATCCTGGATCCTAGAAATTACTGTCCCATTGATGCTTTTGTACTTGTTCGGACAGTATCACTGCGATTCCTTGTGCGTGTGAGGCATGTTGTCCACCCTTCGTACAGTGTGTTTCGTTGATTTCAAGCATCTCTAGGTTGAATCATTTCATTTCTGCAACAAATTAGAACAGTCTTCCAGTCGCCCACATTGTTCAAACATTCCATGTACCTGTATGAATGGTTTCTACAGTTGTTGGAAAGGGTCGTCGACTTCGTGATTTCCGAGGGAACTCGGCTTTCATCATGAGGCATCATAACTCAACCAAAGGAAGCTCTTTCTAATAATGATAATAATAATAATAATAATAATTTATTCTCAAATAACAAACATGTTACAAGAGACATGCCAATTTACAGGCAAGATCAAAATGTTAAGATTAGCAACATATTTCTTTTCAAACGGTATACAGTTACTGAAACATTTCACAAGATTCATTGTTTTCTTAAAGATGGAATGTACAATGCGAATAATTGGCGCAAGTTACGAAGGTTGCGTTACGACAATCGTCTTATGGACTGAGAAACGATTCATGGTAGAGATAGGTTTTCATATAACAAGAATTGATGCGGTAAATGTACAAAGGTCTGGTTGATATTCATCAGCTAATGATTTCACATGTTCTTGGTTAGGGTAACCAAGTCTACTGCAAATATCCAGACTAATATATGTGGATTGGAATAAGGTTCTGAAAAAAGAGGAATAAAGAAAACGGGACGAGGAGCGGAACAGAAAATATTCTTGTTCAAAGCCGAACAACGGCTTTGCACATACGTTTATGGATAAAACAAAGGTATGTGTACTCAGACTTTTTTAATATCATAACAGAAACTGTACACCTGCACTTATGTAGGTTAATGAAGACAATTCAATAGTGAGATAACTAATGAGAAGTTAGTAGAATGAATAGAGGAAATTCAGAAGAACCAAGTTGTTAGTAATAATGTTGATTTACAAAATATAATAAAGAGGATCAGTGATATAATTTTTTGTTTCATTTATTCTTTTTATTTTTAGCTCTGAGGCTCAAGAAGTTATGAATGAGCTCTTTTTTTAGTATAGTTGTCCAGACCAGCTTGTAATAGGATTTCTCAGTAGGAAGTAAAAACCAGTGAAAGGTTACAGACATGGGTATAATCTAAATCATTTGAATTGTTTATTTCGTTTGGCGTTTTTATCAAGTTGGTTTTCTACTGGACATGGACATTATGACGTTAGCACAGAGACGCAACTTTCATTTCAAATCCTATGGTATTAGAGATAGCAGAAGTATTAGCGGTTATGGGGAAGATTAGTGTTCGAAGATATTGTTCATGAAGTATAATTCAGTGAGATAACCGTAGAAAGGAAAAGATAAAGGTTCTGAGGAATTCAGAAGATAGGAATTTGAGAGAACACAAAGATTGGATGCACCTGCATCATTGAAAATGATTTTGAGAAATGTCGTTCAAGGTCTCCAGCCATGGGTTACTATCATCTCGCAGACCCCAACCAGGTAGCCTACATCTACCAACATGAATCAGTCCACTTTTCAGTGACTTCATGCATTTCTGACATAATTTGGTTTGGCCGCCCTCAGCTTTCTCCCAGCCTACTCCTAAACCACAAAACATAGCTCATCGAGGCAGTCGGTGGGTGGGAATTAGTAACACATATCCCAACCACCTCAACTGATGAAGTTTCACTACTACATCAATCCTTACCTAGCACCCGTTTCCTAGCAGCAGACTTGCTTATTCGGCGGTTCCAGGATCTATGAGCAATACTTTGAAGACATCTATACTCGGAGGCTAATAACCTACGAATATCCTCAACTCTTACCGGCTATGTTTAACAGCAATAAAGTAGGATGGAGCGAACTGCCGCGCAATGCACTCGTCCTTTCGTTAGCAGACTGACATCTGTTTGTCATTATTGACTCAGGTTGGTGAAAGGCAGTTGAGCCTTTGGTATCGATGCTGAGATTTCATCAGTCACGAAGCTATCAATACTGATGAGACTTTCGAAATAAGTGAAGCTATCAACACGCTCAACTGTTCCACTCCCCATCACTATTTCAGATGCCGATGCAAGTCAATCCTGAAAAATCATTTTACATTTTGAGAAAACCAGTCGCATCCCGAACATACTTGCTTTGATGGTCAGGGTGTTCGAAAGACTGCATTTTGTCAGCGTCCTCACCGGATAAATCTACGTCATCGGCGTATTCTAATTCAATGAACGAGTCACATGTTTGTGTCATTCCTAAAAGCATATCAATAACAAAGTTTGATGAAGATGAAGAAAGTGAACAGCCCTGATGAACACCACTATAGGTAAACATTTCCAACGACAGTTAGCCATATGCTCTCACGGTAACAGTGGTTATCGAGTAGGGGGCTTGTTTAAGGTTAATGAAGTTCTTGCTTAACCTTTCATTGACGGACTCTGCCATAGAAATTTTGCAATCGACAGAGTCAAATACCGCCTTAAGGTACAAGAATACAACTATAGTGAGACGCCGAAACGTGTGTCTATGTTCCAGGACCTGACGAATAGTGAATATATGCGGTCCATACACCCACGCCCAGGTCTGAACCTACTGTTTTTCTCGGGTCTGCTCTTCTCAAGTCCAAGTTGCTCGTCGACGTACTATTGAAGCTAATATTTAGGATACGATACTATTTAGATTGATTTCTCTCTGCTTGTGGCAACCGGACTTTTGTCCTGTCTTATGGACTAGGGCAATCAGTGATTTAGATCAATCAGATGGGACGTCAGTCAGTTTCAATAATAAAACTGCACCACTATCCTTAAAAATCTCTGGGATCTATCTGTCAGGACCTTCTGCTCTCCCTCGCCCCAACTTCACAAAGAGTCTGAGGGCTTACCTGAACTTGTATTCAGGTCGACTGGAGATCAAGGGCGGTTGAAGTGTGGCTGACGGCCAGTTGAACTGATCCCTAAAATGTTCTTCCATCGGTCCAGTCTCCTGGATTGAGAATGAATAACAGTTTCATCTTTTTCCTAGAAAATCTCACTTACAGTCTGATTTCTGATACCAGGATCTTTGATGAGTCTGAACAAGTGTCTACTGTCATCTATCATCGCTGTCTTTTCCATCATTCTTGCTTTCGCCATGTTTCGCATTTGCATTTCGGGAGGAAAACCACGTCTCGAATATGCTCGCATTGTTGCTTATGGTAGACAGAAGACTCTGTATTTTGTCAGTGTCTTTACCAAGTAGGACTTTGTCATCGTCATATTCTAGGTCAGTAGGCGATTTTCCTGGTAGATTGCCAACCCCTGAAAAATCTGAAGAGCTTAATGTTAACTGTGAGAGGATGTCTACGACAACGTTAACCAAGAATGGAGAGAGTAGACAGCACTGACTGACACCACTTGATGTAGGAGTGTAAGAACAGTTAGTCGTGGAGATAAGAGAGGTATGTTTGGGTGTAGGAATAGTTTGATTTTGACCAATTCGGTCTCTCGTGTGCTGTTACGGGTATGAGGGCGGTTGTCACTTCCCGGCTGCCCACAGCATGCAAGGGTGCTTCTTGAAGAACTTGAAAATGAGGGTAGATTAGCGTTGGTCTTAATGATGTGGGAGCACAACCGCAGAGCCCAGGGGACAACTGCTTGAGGCCGATCACGCACAACCTTTCTGTCAAAGGTTCTTTGAGTGTTAGCTACGCTCTTAAAGACCCTTAGTGGGCACCCTTACCCAAGGAGACGAAAATCCGTGACGTAGGGTGGGGTGTGACATTTTAGGGTCGACCGTTTCTAACCCTTCCTTCCTTGTGAGAAGGCAGTATCTCTGCAACTGCTGGTTGTCGGAGGGAAACACCTTACTGCTGTTACACCCCACTACAGTCAGGTAGCAGTACGACTTCGCCCTCAAACCTTGAGTAGTTGCTTTTTGTCTTATCGTTCTCCAATCGACCTGCCTGGCACGGTAGAACTTTCAGGAACACATGTTCTAGCCAATATAGCTCGTTTGGATCATCGCGATGGGCAAGCCCGACCACCACGTCAAGGTAGCAGCTTCGGTCGGGAGTTCTCGTTATTAGTCTAAGGTGAACTCGTTCTAGTTTAAGTATACCTAGAGACGAGCGTAACAATTTGGCGACGGCATTTCGACAAACGATCTGGTGAATTATGATGGACGCAGCTAAATTAGATAAATTGTTTTCACAACAGCTGAAATTGACGGAGATACTTAGTCAGAAGCACACCTCTTCTTAAGTCTCACCTTCCTGAGTCAGTTGATGGTATGAATAGTGGTACTTCCGAGTTTCTTTATGATCCTGACGCCAATATTACATTTGATACTTGGTCCAGGCGTTGTGATGACCTCTTCAAAAGTTTACATTGCTGACAGAGATGATTCCTGGAGGGTGCATCTTCTTCTTAGAAAACTTTGTCCGTCAGAACGTGACCACTATTGCATTGCGCCACAGAACCCACTTGACCGATCATTCGATGCTACTGTTCAGTCCCTCAGCAAACGTTTTACTGATCAGCACTCTCTTTTCTATTACCTAAAACTGGTCATGAATGAGTCTGATAACTTCATGACCCATGTTGGCATTGTCAACCGTGAGTGCGAACGGTTCAAACTCAAATCTCTCACAGATGACCAATTCAAATCCCTCATATTCATATGCAGTCTCCAATCACCTAAATTTTCCGATATGTTTATATTCGGAAATCATATGCACGGTTTGGAGATGCAGCATAAATGGATTGCATGGGATTTTAGAGTTCTAGCTAATGAAGCTTGCTGCCCTATTCGGCACAAGTTTTGAACATTAAAAGCTGCAACATGTAATTTAGTATGGGGTTTCAGGAGACCAGGAATAACATTTCGTGAGCTGAAACCGTTCGCTTCAGAGGCTCGAGGTGACAGATTGGTCGTGGAAATACGAGAGTTATTAGAAGGTGTAAAAAGGACTTGATTGTGTCCGATGTGTTCCGGTGTGTTTTTATGGGTATGAGGGCGGATGTTACTTCCAGGTCGCTCACACTGTGGAAGGGTTCTGTTAGTCAGAAGGGGCATCATGAGACGCCATAACTCTTGTAAATGCAGACTGTCTAACGCCTAGGGAAATGTTTAAATGGCTTGATTTATCTTTTTTACTAACAGTGTGCACAGCTTATCCTTAGACTTCCATTTTCGAAAAATTCAAGTTATTGGCTGCCTTCTTCCACTTATTCTTAGGTTTGAAAAGGACTTTGATCATGCCATACATCCGAATCCAACACTCTTCCCTGAGGTAGTAAATTTCAGGCGAAACTCGGCTGCTCACTACTCATAAGTCAAGTCGCTAGTAGTATACGGCATACTACTGCTACTAGTACAGTCATTGAATCGGATTACAAGTAGCTGTTTATGATTTGAGCTGTTAGGATGTTCGTATTTATGTCAACCTATTTACATACGATATATTAAAAACTGGAATTAAACTTCATCAATACTAACTCACTTACCAGTGGCTTTTAGGCCATAATTATTCTCCTTCGTATCCGCATTCAGAAAGTGATAATTTTTATACTCTCTAAAAATGTAAGATACTTACTTCACAATGATAATCTCTAGATTCATACAATCTTCAGTATTCGGATGCTCAGTTGAAACCAAAAAGCAAGATAACAAAAAGATGTTATTTTGTAAGGTCAATTTTAGAAAGTATGTGGTATTAGTAGACTGAACAGTGATTTCGGGTTGCTTAGAAACTTTTGGAAAAGATACCTCAGTCATTATTTACTTAGTGTATGACTTATCGCCAAAAAAACAGATAGTGTTGTTGTTTTTCAAATCTGCATAGCATAAATCGACGGCACGAGATTCTAGGGTTCTAACTAAAGATGCCTGTTGCCCAGTTGACACAAGGATAGGAAATTTAAAAATTCAACATGTAGATTGAAGCATGGTCTCACGAAACTAGGAGTGAGGTTTTGTGAACTCGAAACGTTTGCATCTCTAGCGTAAGATGGAAGGAGGTGGCCTTTTTATGGGATGCTTGAGAAGTGTTAGCCTCGGTCATAGAGTGACCTTGTAGCCGGAGACGGAATTCCGTTGGGAAAGGTAAGTTGTGATATTTTTAGGTTTCAAACTTCTAGCTCCTTACATCCTTGAGAAAAGGCAGCATTGCTGCAGATTCTGGTTGTCCGAAGGAAGCACCTTACTTCCGTCATACCTCTCTACGGTCAGCAGTACGACTTCTACCTCAGAACTCGAGTAGCTTTTTTTAGTCTCATCGTTCTCCAATCGACCTGTGAGCCATGGTAGAACATACAGGAATATATGTTCCAGGAAACATAGTTCGATTGAGTCATCAAGATAGAGGAGCCCGACAACCACGTCAAGGTAGTAGCTACGGACGGTTCGGCCTTCCGTCCTCTTCATTCTGAAACGGAAGCTGAGACTACTTAATTAATGCAGCCCGTCTGCACATAAAGCCCCTAGTATGATATAATATATCTTCAGAGTGGGTCTTTGTTATTAATTTCAACACATAAGAGCTTTCTAACCACTCCAAACTGACCATAAGCGAACCCAAAGACAAAGCTTATACATCTCGTTTTATGTTGGATATTGAACGATACATTGTGGCGCAAAGTCTGGTCCTTAGTGAACGCTGATGGATTTAGGGTATCTTGACGGTCAGTTTTTAAGCCTGTTTCCAAACTGTCGACGACTAGTGTATTCTGTATTATTTCTCAAGTTAGAATAAATACCGTATTGTTGTTGGGATTTTATAACGCTAGGGGTTCGATCTAATAACCGACATTTTGCCATTGTTTCTTTATGAGAAAACCAGAGAATGTTTCTGATGGCATAAATAAATTATTTACTTGTAAGCAAACAAGCTGGCTCTTCGCATGTAACTATTTAATCTCGGTCGTTCTGTCGATATTACTTCATGTCATGTTGACGCCATGATGATTCAAACTATTTAAAGTATCTCTAACACCCTATAATTTCGCGACTGTTATGAAATTCTGTCTTTTTTCAAACTTTTCTGGGAAAAATATCAGACCAAAGGAAGTTTCGGGTTTTTTTGGCTGCATTTAACCAAAGTTTGTTGGGTACTTCCCCAGCACCTACAACTCTTCAAAGTTAGGGAAGCAGGCCGTTTAAACTAAAGAAAATAACCTGTAACAATTTCATCTTGACTTGCTGTGCAATTTTTAATTAGCTTACTTCGTTCGAACTGTTCACTCCTAATACGCGTTTTTACGCAAAAATCTAAATGGCTTACTATCTTGATACAGACAAGGATGAATCCAACTATATTCCTCATGGTGTCGATATTTCAGGCGATTACAACCAAGAAGTCAATGCCACCGGGAATTCTCTCGATCAAGTCGAAGCACAATGGATGGCAGAATTAAAGCAAGTTAGTGAGATTTTTCATATCCATAGAAAAATAATGTACTTGTAAGATGGACAATTTGTATTGTAGAGCTTAAGATCTGTTGTTTTTTTTGGTTCGCAAACATATGGTTTCGTCTCCAAACGGTGCCACTCTTGATTGTTAGCGTGGTTGGCCATTAAAGATTATTTAACCCTATTATTATTGTCATTACCATCACTAATTATCATTATTTAAACACAAACATTGATATAAACGAGCAACGAGATATATATGAACCAAATAGATCATTAGGCTGGGGTGTTCAACATAAAGCAGGCGTTTTTCTTTGAGAGCCACTCCCTGAACCTTTTACCTACAAATCTAACATTAAAGCAGTGATTCAAATATAAAGTCCCGTGATAGCTTGTGACCAAAATTAAGTTCATACGCTACCTGTTCCCCCCAGGACCCTAAAGCTGGTTTGCACTATCGATTTGGAATTATAATTCCCTGATTCCCGTAGGTTGATCCCCTGTACACGTCGACGCGGTTAAGGCACTAGAAATTCACTTTTCGTCTTCTCAATTTCATGAACAAACTCCCCGCTGTAATGAAGCAGTGAGTAGAGTTTCTCTAACTCGCTACATACTTGTGGCCATTTCAAGAGTGAGTGAACTCTCCCCACTTTTAGTCTTACGAGGACATTGGGAAGCCTAAGTATGAAGCCTAGTCGACAAAACGTGTATCATATGATGTGATATCGCATGTTACGTACCCATACATTAGAAACGAAATTGAAGTAAGGTGATCAATATTTTTTGATGTATGTAATGCGATATCAATATGGGATTTAGTGAAGTGAGGAAGTGCGTTTTTACAGCGAATAACACCATTCATTTTATGTTCTATACGATACTCGTAAATTTCCGAATAGGTTAATCTTACTTACTTACTTAGGCCTGTTATCCCCAATGGAGCATAGGCTGCCGAACAGTACTCTCCAACCAACTCTGTCTTGGGCTTCCCTTTCCAGTTCTGTCCAATTTTTGTTCATTCTTCCCATGTGTTTCTCTATTTCTCGGCGTAATGTGTTCATTGGCGTTCCTCTTTTCCTCTGAATTCAAGGGTTCCAAATTAGGACTTGTCTTGTGACGCAGTTAGGTGCTTTTCGTAGTGTGTGTCCTATCCACTTCCACTGCTTCTTCCTGATTTCCTCCTCCGCTGAAATCTGGTTCGTTCTCTCCCACAGTAGGTCGTTGCTGATGGTGTCTGGCCAATGGATTCGAAGTATTTTGCGTAGACAACTGTTAATGAATACTTGTATCTTCTCCAAGTTTCCACCCCATAAAGTAGAACTATCTTGAAATCTGTATTGAAAATCCTGATTTTGATGTTGGTCGATAGTTGTTTAGAGTTCCAGCTGTTAAATTGTAGAAATACAGCCCTTGCTTTACCGATCCGCGCCCTCATCTGCATCGTATCAACCTTGGTTGTCAATTATGCTACCCGGATACGTAAAGGTGTTAGCATCCCCCGAGGCGTGTCCATCAAGAGTGATTTGGTTGGCGCATGTTGTGTTGTATCGGAGAATCTTGCTTTTCCCTTAATGTATGTTGAGACCTACTGCTGCTACACTGGTCATCTCTTGCATTTGTTGTTGCGTGTACGATAGAAGGGCCAGGTCATCTGCGATATCCAGATCGTCCATCTGCATCCTGGCTGTCCAATGTGTACCGTGATTCCCTCCAGATGTCGACGTGTTCATAATCCAGTTGTTACGATATTCACCAAATATCCTAAGAGTACTATTTTTGGAAGTATAATCCTATTGGTCGATTTCTATTGGTCAAAATTATGGTCGTTTTAACTGTCAAAGTCAAATACTTCATTGTTGTTTCTGATTGGTCGTATTTGGGTTGTATTGGAATATTTGAATTCAGACGTCGGTAATTTTTGAATAGCTACGTAGCAGCATTATAACACCAGTCGATCATCAGGAGAAAGAGAAAGGGTGAGAGTAAGCAACCTAGCTTGACACCGGTCTTCACCTCGAACGAGTCTGTCAGCTGACCGCCGTGCACGGTTTTGCAGTTGAATCCATCATAAGAATTTCGTATGATGTTGACTATCTTTTCAAACGCCATAGTGTTGCAATTTGGTCAGTACACGATCGATCCTTACGAAATCCAGCCTGTTGATCTCGAAGTTGGGCGTCTACGAAGTCCTACATTCTGTTTAATAATAACTTGTTTAAGACTGCTTGGTATTGAGAGAAGAGTGATGCCTCTGTAGTTCTCACACTTGCTGAGATAACCTTTCTTTGGTATACTCATTAGGTATCCTTTCCAATCCGACGGTACTTGTTCCTCATCCCAAATTTTGTTGAAGAGAATGTGAAGTATTTTTGCATCTGCTTCAACATCTGCTTTCATTGCCTTTGCTGGAATGTTGTCTGGTCCTGCTGATTCTCTACTCTTGATTCGTCTGATGGTCATACTGATCTCTTCAATTGTAGGTGCGCCAACACCGATTGGGGGGTCCGTAGATGCTGCTTCGATGTTCGGTGAGCTCAGTGGGGCTGGTCGATTCAAGAGTTCCTTTAATTGCTCTACCCACCTATTTCGCGGTTCTTCAGTGTTGCTGATTACTTTGCCTTCCTTGCTTTTCACTGGTCGTCCTGGTTTACGATAGTTTCCTGCGAGCTTCTTTGTTGTTTCGTACAATTGTCTCATGTTTTCTTCTCTTGCAGCCTTTTCCGCCGTCATTGCTAGATATTTTTCGTTTGTTGGCTCTGATGTCCTTCCTCACTTGCCTATTTACTTCTGTGTATTCAGCTTGTGCCTTGAATTTCTCTGCTCTTGTTCGGCTGACATTGATTTCTGCCTTCTTGTTCCTCCTTTCTTGATTTTTTTCAAGAGTATCAACAGAGATCCATTCCTTGTGATGGTCCTTCCTGTGGCACAGAACTTCGTGAAATGTTGAAGTGATTGCCTCCTTGATCTCTTCTGCAGTAAGTTGAAATAGTCTTTCAGTCTTCCACGATGTACCCAAAAGAAAGGTTGATCTGGTTGTCAGAAAGGGTATCAGACTCGTGACTTTCGAAGAATTTCGGCTTTCTTCATGAGACGTCATAACTCTTTCAAAAGAAGACCTTCTAACTACCAGGGTAGAGTTAAAGTGGTTTGAATTATGTTTTCTGGTTAGCGTTTTTATAGTGAGTTAGTTTTTTTCTGGGATGGGGTCGCCAACCCCATGCCTAACCCTCCTTCTACTCGGTCTTGGGACCGTCAGTAAACCAAGAGGGGCTCCAGGTGGAGTGGGCTAATCTTACGAAAGGATAATGTAGGAATTATTATTACCCAAGTATTATATAATGAGAAATCTGTTTCAATTGAATTTTACCTCTGCAATTGTTATTTCATATTTCTCATTGGAATCTTTTCATTATCAGAAAACTTATAAATACATAATTTTAATTAATGTTATTTTTTTCTTTCAATCTTTTCTAAGGTTGAAGATGAAATTCAAACTCTTCGACAAGTTTTATTATCTAAATTTCGTCGACAACAATTTTTAAAGCGTCAACTTGGTTTAACACCAATCGAGGAACTTAAAACTGAAGTGAAACAAGGTTTAGATACTTTACTAACTAGTGATGCGTAAGTTTATTCTTAAGTTGATCGATCACTAGAACTTTTATTATTTCATGTAATCGATTTCTTTTTTATGAATTTGAAATAAGGCTAGAACAGAGTGAATAAGGTAAACTAATAATTTCAGATCAGATCAAATCATCATCATGTTTTTTTTCATGGTTTCTTTCGACTCTCTAAACTTTTCTCACTGAATCATACTTCTTGAATAGTATCTTCTAACCCTAACCTCTCCGATTACTTCTAATTCCCTTACTACCTCTACTACTATTGGATTTGAATTGACAATTACATCCCTCTGTGCTGATGTGGTATGGCAACATGAACTGGATGTACTTACGTACCAAGTTCTACGTTGCATCTGACTGACATGGTTTCTTTTATCAGATGATAGATAACCAGCTTTACTTAAAGTGTGTAACAAACAATAAGATGTGAAATAAATTTTCACTAATGACGAAATGATCTAGAGTAAGTAATAAAGGCTACTAATAATGATTATGTCATGAGGTCATTTGAAGACAAAGTTCAGTAGACGATGAAGCAAGTGAACCAGTGATCAAAATAAAGTTCAGAAATCGATAATGATAGATCGTGTGATGATTATTAAAGGTTTACATAAGTTTTAGATCACGTGAAAATGAAAGTAGAAAGTTTAAAGTAATGAAATGATAAGTAGTCATTGAAGAGTTTTACACAATAAGTAATCATGATTTAATGAGGAGGATTATGTAAGGTTTGGAGAAATGAATGAATAGAGAGATAATTTTGGTGTACATGAATAAGAACTTGTGTGGCAGCAGTTCACTCCGTTCTCCTTTATGGATGCGAAATATGGCCGTTAAGAGTAGATGTTCGTAGGTTACTAGTCTTAGAAGCATTGCTCGTATATCGTGGGACCACCGAGTAAGCAATGCTGTCGCTAGGGAATGAGTAGTAGGTAAGGATGGCAGATCAATAGATGAAGTGGTGAAACTTCATCAGTTGAGGTGGTTGGGACATGTGCTGTGTATGTCTAACCACCGACCGCCTCGACGAGCTATGTTTTGTGGTTTAGGAGTAGGTTGGAAGAAAATTAGGTGCGACCAGACCTAAACATGGCAGAAATCCATGAAGTCATTGACAGGTGGACTGAATCATGTTGGTAGATGTAGGCTACCTGGTTGGCGTCTGCGAAACGAAAGTCACCAATGGTTAGAGATGCTGAATGACATGGCTCAAAATCGTTTGCAATGGTACAGATGCATCCATTCTTCGTGTTCTCTCAAATCCTAACCTTCTGGATTCGTCAGCACTCCTACCTTTGTTTTTCTAACCTTATCTCACTGAATTATACGTCTTGAATAATATCTTCAAACCCTAGTCTTCTTCATTACCATTAATACCTCTACTATCTCTATCACTATGGGATTTCATTGGACATTTGCGTCTCTGTGCTAATGTGGTATGGCAACCTGAATTGATGTACATACGTACGAAGTTCTACGTTGCAACTGACCGACTGACTATACATTGTGAATATTTATTACATTTCATGCAATATGATTATAGTTTACATAATAACAAATTTAATAACCTCGAAATAAGGTTTCTGTTCATTCGCTTGCCTCTTCCAAATTCGAAAGTTCAAAAAAAATTATTCGAGTTCAAAGCGTTTTGATGTTCGGTAATCAGTCGGACTAGGCACCCATCTAGTAGTTGCACATTGTATTGTTCATTTGTTAAACAATCTTAATTATTAGCCTACTAGAGAAAAATATCTACTAAGTCGTTTTGTATGGTAAAAATCTTATGTTTCACAACCTAGACTTCATGGCATTGAATAAGACAGGTAACTAGAGTATAGAAATACCGGTTTATTAATTAAAACCTTTTGATTATGACCCAAATGCCTCAATCGAAATCCTCTTAAAAATTGTATTGAAAGTCCCATGAGCAGTGGTCACATTGAATAATTCAATGTTGTAGGAAAATTTAAGTCAGTCAATTACAACGTAGAAATTTGTACTTAGGTACATCAGTTCAGGTTGCCATATCACATCAGCACAGAGACGCAACTGTCATTTCAAATCCTATAGTATTAGAAATAGTAGGAGTATTAGCGATCATGGAGAAGTTTAGGCTTCGAAGATATTATTCAAGAAGTATAATTCAGTGAGGTAACTCTAAAAAGAGAAGGATAGAGATCATGAGGAATGCACCTGCATCATTGCAAGCGATTTTAAGCCATGTCGTGCAGAGTCTTTAACCATCGATTACTATCGTCTCGCGGACCCCAATCAGGTAGTCTACATCTACCAACATGACTCAGTCCACTTGTCAGTGACTTCGTGCATATATACCACGTTTTGGTCTGTCCACCCCTAGCTTTTTTCTTACCTACTCCTCTACATCACAAAACATCGCTCGTTAAGGCAGTCGTGGTTAGGCATACGCAACACATATCCCAACCACTTCAACTGATGAAGCTTCACTACTTCATCTATTGATCTGCCATCCCTAACTAGTTCTCGTTTCCTAACGACAGCATTGCTTACTCGGTTATCCCAGAATACACGAGCAATGCTTCTAAGACATCTATGATCGAACACTACCAACCTACGAATATCCTCAACTCTTACCGGCCTTGTTCCACATCTGTATAACAGGATGGAGCGAAATTCTGTGCAGTAAACTTTTCATTTGCTTTCCAAACGGATATCTCGTCTACGCCATAAGTGACTTAGGTTGACGAAAGCCAATCGAGCCTTCTGTATCCATGTAGAGATTTCGTCAGTCATCAGGCCATCAGCACTGATGAGACTCCCAAGATAATTGAAGCAGTGTACACACTCAACTGATTCACTTCTTATCACTAGTTGAGGTACCGACCGATACAAGCCAATCCTCAAGCAACATTTTGTATTTCGATTGGGGAAAAAGTGGATCTTAATCGATATTGATTTCTTTTTTGGCATATGTTCTATTTGAGAATCGCACATCTCCCCAACAATAATTCATTTATCACTTGAACAACAAATAATTTCCATAAATATAAATTTCTACTGATCACATAAAATTAATGTTTTTATCTTCTGTGTTAACCTATCTAGATATCTGAAAACAACAGCAGTTGTAAAAACTGCTAAGGATAAAACATCAGCTGCATTATTTGAAAAATGGAATTTACTACGGTATGTTTATTTATCACTTAAATTTTTATTGATGGTTATATTTTGATGTGTACACAAAATTTTTGTGGTGGTGTTTCCGTTCTCTGAGCTGTGGATTTTGTTTTGGTTGTGGAGCTTTTATTGTTCTTCCACTGAACAACATCATCAGCACAAACTTCAGGTAGATGATAGAATTGAAGTATTCGAATTTTTTCACGTGCGTGACTTGTAGCTTGTTCTGCTAACCTCGATGTTGATTGGTTGTTGTAGACCAAAGGGCAAAATGACAAAGCCAAACACCATCTATAAAATAAATTGCTCAGACTGTGAAAAACACTACATAGGACAAAGTGGACGGCCTCTTCAGCTTCGTCTAAGTGAACACCAATTAGCAGTCAAACGCTACGACAACTCTTCGCTTATATCAATACATACCGACAATTATGGACATACATTCGACTGGGACAATGTGGAAATACTGGATAGGGGGAAGACAAAGAACACTAGGGAAATTTTAGAAGCTTGGGACTCAGGTAAATCAGTAATCAACAAACACATCTACATTGACCCAATTTATCAACCAATCAGGAAAATCATAGGTGACATAGGATCAAGAAACAGTTCAAAAGGGGGATACAGTCAAAACAAAGGTGCAAACAACGACAAGTTTAAGGTCAACAGCAACCAATCAAGATCGAGGTTAGCAGAACAAGCTACAGGTGAAACGTGCAGAAATTCGAATGCTTCACTTCTATCTACCTGAAGTTTGTGCTGATGATGATGTTGTTCAGTGAAAGAACAATGAATGGCTCCACAAACCAAAACAACATCCACAGCTCAGAGAACCAAACACCACCACCACAATCATCCACCTGAGCTACAAGTTTTCTCCACCAACACAAAATTTTTATTTGGACATTGACATTATTAGATAGAAAGAAAAAGTACTGATATAGTAAAATATTTTAATGTTTATATTCTTTTTCAACTGGTAAATAAATTTGTTAGGGCTACCTACGTATTACTGGTCAAAAAGTAGATCGGTGTATATTTTGTGGCAGATAAACCTCACAGTTCCCACATTGGTCATTACATCTTTTAAATGACATCCCATTTTATGAATTGATCAAAAAACGCCTAATGACTTAAAGTTATTTCCTCACGTAATAATTCCCTTGCCCTCAATTATTTCTGTTTTTCACACATGCAAGTTCGATGTCATGTAGTGTTATATTCTAACCTAGCCATACGTAGAACTTATCTAACCGAATAAATGAAATCAAATATGAATAAGTCATACTTTATTCTCACACTTCTTCTAGTCCACACCAGGCGATTACACACAAATCTTTGTGTAAGCACTGTTGAAGACATTTTATCATGATTCTTCAATACATATCCTGATGAGATGAGATGGTGTAGAAAATTTATAACTCAGTTGGATGATTATGGTGGTGTTTCGTTCTCTGAGCTGTGGATGTTGTTTTGGCTTGTGGAGCCATTCATTGTTCTTCCACTGAACAACATCATCAGCACAAACTTCAGGTAGATAGAAGTGAAGCATTCGAATTTCTTTACGTTTGGCCTGTAGCTTGTTTTGCTAACCTCGATGTTGATTGGTCGCTGTTGTCCTCAGAAGAACAATGAAAGCCCCACAACCAAAACATTCAGCTCAGAGAACGAAACACCATCACATATACTTTGATCGGTTCTCCATGTTGGTAGATGTAGGCTATCTGGTTGGGGTCCGCGAGACGATAGTCACCGATGGTTAGAGACCTTGAATGACATGGCTGAGAATCGTTTGCAATAGCTTACTCCTTCTAAATTTATCTTACTGAATTATACTTCTCGAATCATATCTTCGCTCCTTAATCTTCTCTCCATTACTGCTAATACTTCTACTATCTCTATCACTCTTGGATTTGAACTGACAGTTGCGTCTCTGTGCTGATGTGGTATGGCAGGCAACTTATGTACGATGTTCTGCGTTGTATCTGTCTGTCTATATATATATATATATATATACCTAAAGAAATGGTTATCGGAGCAAGTTTACTCATTCGATTTTTTCTCTTATGTGTTACTGTGGGTTGCTTGATTACACCTACTTACTTTAGTACTTAGACTACACATAAAATCACTTGACGATTGATTCATTAGGCTTATTGATTTCTCAATTAATTCAAATAACAGATGATCTCGATTGCTAGTGTGTGTGTGTGAAATCCATTCTACATACACACTAAGTAATCGATCCTTGCTTGCATCAATATTTTATTTTTTCTGCATCATACACACTGTCTGTCTATAACCGCTGTACGATATGCGCGTGTGTGGTCTGTTGATTTATGCTTGCACATAACAAATCATAACATTCCTGAAACACACAAATGTTTTTTTGATAGGTGGATTAAACATTTAAGACTATGTACTAAATTAACCAGGGATTAGCTGTTATTTGGAGTTAAATACCATTTTTGCAAATAATGTAACTTAACCTTTTTATAGAATGTGAATCCTTTTTAAGTAATAAATAATATGCTTTAGATTAGGAGTGACCTCATTATCTTTGCTCAGTGGGGAGATAACGTAGCCAATGAAGTTTATCTGAGGTGCGGTTATTGCTAGTTGAAAACTTTATAACTCTTTAGAGTGACTGACCTCATTATCTTATCGCATTCTGTAGATATAAATATAAGCAAACATGTTGACAGTAAAAGAAACATCTCAGGCTTGTTATTATTATTACAAAAGACTGAATAAGTTACTAAATAGGTTACTCATGACTAGGAAGTTTGAAATTGTAAATCGATCAGTTAATTAATTAGTGTATCTGTCTAAATTTCTTACGCTCATCACTAGGTGTATGCTTGAAGCTATCGCGAGTTCACCTTAGTCGATAAACACGAACGAAACAATGAACCAGCGTCCCAAAACTGTAAAACAGAAGTCTTGACAAGCGTAGAAAGTATATTCTACAAACCCCCCTTCCAATCACAACACAATACAATCAAGCATACAACTCTCGTTTATTTATACATCATAGAAACGTCCTTGGGACATTCACAAAAAGAGCATACTAAAATACACAGCAGCCAATCACAGCTAAGGCGTTTCCTGGTGGCGAATGAAATCCCAAGGTCAACTGATCAGCCCATGCCCAAAATCGGGGCATTTATCAAGCGAGTTCTGGGGGATCTACACATCCCCAGACAAAATTACAACCACAAAAATTAGTGGAGAAATAGTGATGTTAAAGAGACATGGTGTGTGTGTGTGTGTGTAAGTATGTATGTAATGTAGACGTAATTTTTTTTCATACATCGATATTACTGACAACGTAATGAAATGAACATGATTAATGAAATAAAATAATTTCATGTTGAATAATTTTTTTCTTTTGTTTCAAACATGTTAGACAAACGAATACATACAAATCTTTGGAGAATAAAGTCGGTACCGCATATTCCAATGTTTATGTAAGTGTTATATATATATGTATACATATATGATCCCAGATGATACCAAATTATGCAATCTTCCAATTGCATTTTAAATCTGTCAATGTTGATTTCATGCGATTATTCAATGAAGCTAATGGATGATATCCTAATTTTGATTTACTCCGGTGTTAGTTAGTGATAAGAAAAGCATTGGATTTTGATCAATTTGGTCTCTCGTGTGCTGTTACGGCGGGTATGAGGGTGGTTGTCACTTCCCGGTTTCTTGAGGATGCTGAGAAGGAAGGTGGATTAGCGGTGGTCTTAACGACCTGGGAGCGTGATCGCAGAGCCCAAGGGACAACTGCTTTAGGCCGATCATGCACGACCTTTCTGTCAAAGGTTTTTTGAGTGTTAGCTCCGCTCTTAAAAGCCCTTAGTGGGGCACCCTTACCGCTGGAGATAGAAATCTGTGAGGTAGGGTGAGATTTGACATTTTTAGGGTCGACCTTTTCTAACCCTTCCTTCCTTGTGATGGGAACGCAGCATCTCTGCAGATGCTGGTTGTCCGAGAGGAACACCGCTCTGCAGTCAGCAGTACGACTTTGCCCTCAGACCTTGAGCAGCTGCTTTTAGTCTCCTTTTCCTCCAGTCAACCTGCCTGGCATGGTAGAACCTTCAGAAATATATGTTCCAGCCAGTATAGCTCAGTTGGGTCATGACGATAGGCGAGCCCTACCACCATGTGTCAAGGTAGCAGCTACGGTCGGGAGTTCCACGCCGCTGCAACTGACTGACTGAGTGATAAGAAAATGTTTGATTTTGTCAAAGATTCAATATCTGTTGGTAGTTGAGCTGTTCGTTTATCCATGTGGTCTGAAGGTCATTTAGTACATAGATAATGACACTTAGTTTACTCTATGAAACAATAAAATGTATCAGGAATATTTATATTTTCCAATTACTCAGCTAGAAGTTAGTATGGAGTAGAAAATATCGATTCCTCTACCTGTGATAGTTGAATATTTTAATTACTAAACCATATTTATTTAACGATTATTTAGTCAGTATACATTTGTATATCAGTAAAATTTTCTGTTGAATATCACATTTCAGAAAGTACGCCGGATAATTTTTATTCCTAATTTGTAGAGATTAGGGTTCGAAGATATTATTCAAGAAGTATAGTCTTACTTACTTTTATGTTTTCTACTTGATGTAACGCCAAACCACTGTACTAATGACACACCGAACGTTAGACCCAACCGTTCAAAAATAAGAAGACGGAAGACTTTGGAGAACACTTATTAACAGAATCAAAAATATACAATCAAACATGCGTATTTATACAATTATATAAATATCGATATTGTCGTTTAAATATTTTGAACATTAATCAAATAGTTCATCATGAACACTAATCATATAGTTCATCATGAACATTAATCATATAGTTCATCATGAACATTATTCAAATAGTTCATCAATCCACAAAGTGCGTGCCTTTCTTCTCGATTGGCTATCCCAACACTTACTTACTTCTGTTACCCCTAATGGAGCATAGGCCGCCGACTAGTATTCTCCAACCTGCTCTGTCTTAGAACTCCATTTCCACTTCTCTGGTCTAATGAAATAACCTTGAAAAGAGGAAGATAGAGGTGATGCGGAATTCAGAAGATTAGAATTTCAGAGAACACAACGAACGGATGCACCTGCGCCATTGCGAACGATTTTCAGCTATGTTATTCAAGGTCTCTAACCATAGGTCACTATCATCTCGCGGATTCCGACCATGTTGTGCACACCACCTATCAACATGACTCAGTCCACTTATCAGTGACTCCATGAATTTGTGCTATGTTTTGGTCTGGCTGCCTCTAGCTTTCTTCCAACTTACCCATAATACTTCTACTACCTGTACCACTATAGGATTTAAATTGACAACTTCTATTGTGATATAGCAACTTGAACTGATGTACGAATGTAGGATGTTCTGCATTATATCTGAAGGACTGATTGTGGAGATAGTGATAGATAGATATGATAGATGTACTTCATGAATATTAGTTTATCAGTTCTATAACAGTGAGGTTGGGTATAATAGAAACATGGAGATGTTGTAATAAACGATTTACACTTCTGTTAGTCCATCATGACTGAGGCCCTAAGGACAGTTCACAAAATATATGAAATTCTGTTACTCTACTAAGATATTTCATTTTTTTTATGTTAATGTATGTTTTTCATTTTATTTTAGGGAAAATTGACACGTTCTAAAACCCTATCAAGTGGTCATGAAAATATAGGCAATTTTCAAGTAAGTAATGTTTTCAAATGTCTTATTACATCAAATCGTACTGTTGTCTATTCACTATTCAACTTACTGATATTGTTAAATGTTTGAAATAATTCACCAACGTAATTGATATGCTTGGAGTTATTACGAGTTCACTGTACTCTGTAAACGCAACGAAGATCAATGATTTAGTGACGTGATAGGCTACTTTAATGCAGTCTCCTCAGGTCCCCACTAACTAGATGAAGAAATCCTAATAAGACGTAGAGAATGAAGGTCAAAATGAGCGTCTTTGGTGCGAAAATATTGAATTCAAAATTCCAAAATAGAATTTCAAAATTAGTAGTTTTGGGGTTCTAACGTCCCCAACACGTAATCAATTCATTGAAGTGTTCAAATAGAGACTATGAATGTTCTGAAGTGTTTTGAAGGAGGTATTCAACTGTCATCAGATCGTTTCTGATCGCGCTGTGTAATGTTTCTAGATTTTTTTGGAGATAATGTGACTAGTACTACTTTTTGTTTTACCAAGTGTATATATACATAAAAGTATTTGTTTGTTGGGCAACTTGCAATCATCATTTTATGATTTAAGTTTTGTCATAATTTTTGAAAGTTGGCTTTGAAAATTTACTTTTGTATTGTCAAGTACTATATAGTCTAATATTGTATTACTCTGTGTTATCGTGTGTAAAGTAAGTTATTCATGCCGTTTACATGTATGTGGCGGATGTCACTCTCCGGCTGTCTACGCTGTGGAAGGGTACTTCCTGAGGAACCTGGAAAGGAAGGTAGATTAGCGGTGGTCTTAAGGACTTGGGAGTGTGACCGCAGAGTCCAAGGGACAACTACTTGAGGCTGGTCACGTGGGACCTTTTTAAGAAAGGTTTTTAAAGTATTAGCTCCTCTCTTGTTTAAAAGGCTTTACTGCCGGACACGGAACTCTGCAGGGTAAGGTGAGGTGTGAAATTTTTAGGGTCGATCTTTTTTAACCCTTCCTTCCTTGTGAGAAGGCAGCATCGCTGCAGATGCTGGTTGTCCGAGAGGAACACCTTACTGCTGTCACACCGCTCTGCAGTCAGTCAGTAGTACGACTTTGCCCTCAGACCTTGAGCAGCTGCTTTTAGTCTCCTCTTTCTCCAATTGACCTGCCTGGCATGGTAGAACCTTCAGGAACATATGTTGCAGCCAGTATAGCTCAGTTGGGTCATGACGATAGGCAAGCTCGACCCCGTCCCGCAAAACACTAGCTTGAAAAAAAAATTTAACAAGAAAACATAATTAAAATCATATAAACTCTGCTTTTAGGGTTAGGTCTTGATCTAGAATAGTAATGACGTCTCTGGATGAAAGCCGAGATCCTTCTGAAGTCATGAAGCCGATTCCCTTTCTGACAACCAGAACCCTTCTACGATGTGGGCAGCCGGGAAGTAACATCCGCCCTCCTACCCATAAAAACACACGAGACCGAATCGGTCAAAATTAAATCCTTTCTACACCTAATAACTCTTATATCCTCACCAACCCTTCTTTCGTTCGTACCACCTCAAGCCACTAAAGCAAACATTTCGAGCTCACGAAGCATTATTCCTGGTCGCCTGAAACCCCGTACTAAAGTACATACTGGAGCTTCTAGTGTTCGACCATTGCGTCAAATAGAGCAACAGGCTTCATTAGCTAGAACTCTGGAATCCCGTGCGATCGATGTATGTTGCATCTCCAAAACGTGCATGCAAACACCTTTTGACCTGGTGACCCCGAAAGCCGACCCAACTAGATCACATCGCTATAAGCCATTGGTGGAGTGGCTCTGTTGAAGACTGCCGCTCATTCTGGAGCACTTGTTTAGACTGAGACCATGCTCTAATGCGAGCACGTATTTGTTTGCCTCTTACTAGACGTAAGAAAAGTATCGCAAGGAAACCTGTTAGGGTTCTACTTAATGATAATACAGCTAAGAATATGTTTCAGTAACAACTAAAAAAACAGTTAGCCGTGTAAACGATTCCCATCCAGAAGCGGGTTGGAATTCTGTATTATTCATTCTCAATCCAGGAGATTGAATCGATGGGCAGAACACTTTAGGGAACAGTTCAACTGGCCTTCAGCTACAGTTCGGTTGCCCATGATCTCCAATCATCCTGAGTGGAAAGTCTACGTAAGTCCTCCGAACCTTTATGAAGCTGAAAAGGTTATAGGAAATCTGAAGCGAAAGAGAGCAGCAGGACCCGATAGATTGACTCCTGAGATTTTTAAGAATGGCGGTCCAGTTTTAGCAGATAGATTGACTGAAATCGTAGGTAGAATTTGACAACTGGACGTAATCCCATCTGACTGGTCTCAATTCCTGATCGTCCCAATTTATAAGAAGAGGAATTCGTTAAGAGCAGACTAGAGAAAACCAGGCTGGTTTTTGACCGAACGTATCTGTATAGACCTCATACGACAGTTCCTGGAACACTGACACTCACTTAGGCGTCCTACTATAGTTGTCTTCCTGGACCTTAAGGCGGCATTCGACTCAGTGGACCGTGAGATTCTGTGGCAGTGTCTGTCATTGAAAGGTGTACCAAATAAGTACATTAACCTCGCACAAGCTCTCTACTCGAACACCACTGGTCGAGTGATAGCTTATGGCGAACTGTCATTCGAATTCTTTACTTCAAGTGGTGTACGTCAGGGCTGTCCACTCTCTCCATTCTTGTTTAATTTTATCATAGACATGCTCCTAGAAATAACCTTATACTCGTCTGAATTTTCAGGAGTAGACCTTTTACCACGTGGCTCGCTTATTGACTTAGAATATGCCGATGACATAGTCCTACTTGGTGAAGACGCTGACGAAATGCAGAGTCTTCTGACCACCCTAAGCAACAATGCAAGCATGTTTAGGATGCGGTTCTCCCCCTCGAAACGCAAAATGTTGCTTCAAGATTGGGTTGCAACGGCACCTGAACTAGTGATAGAGAGTGAAGTAGTCGAGCGCGTAAACCGCTTCACTTATCTGGGGAGTCTCATCAATGCTGATGGCCTTGTGATTGACGAAATCTCAGCTCGGATACAGAAGGCTCGATTGGCTTTTGCCAACCTGCGTTATTTATGGCGAATGCGGGATATCCGTTTTCTCACTAAAGGACGAGTGTACTGTGCAGTAGTTCGCTCCGTCTTACTTTATGGCTGTGAAACATGGCCAGTGAGAGTAGAAGATATTCGTAGGTTACTGGTTTTCGATCATAGGTGTCTTCGAAGCATTGCTCGTATATCCTGGGACACTCGAGTGAGCAACACTGTTATTAGGAAACGGGTTTTAGGTAAGAATGGCAGATCAATAGATGAAGTAATGAAACTTCATCAGTTGAGTTGGTTGGGACATGTGCTGCGTATGCCGAACCGCCGACTGCCTCGACGAACTTTGTTTTGTAGTGTAGGAATAGGTTGGAAGAAAGTTAGGGGCGGCTAAACCAAAACATGGCAGAAATCCATGAAGTCATTGACGAGTGGACTTAGCCATGTCGGTAATTGTCGACTACCTGGTTGGGGTCCACGAGATGATAATAATAGACGGTTAGAGGCGCTATGTGCATTCATCTTTGGTGTTCTGTCTAGTTCTACCTAACATTCTGAATTCCTCATCACCTTTATCTTTTTCTTTTAAGTTTATTTCACGCGATTCTACTTCTCAATAATCTCTTCAAACCATAACCTCTCTGATTACTTTTATTAATTTTAATAATTTTCGCATCATGGGATTCAAAGTGACAAATACATCTCTGTGTGCTAATATGGTATGGCAACTTGAATTGATGTATTCTCATACGAAATTCTACATTGCTGTTGATTAATTTATTGATCGATTGATTGGCGCTAAACAAACATCGCATTAGTGGACTCTTTTCAGTGATTAGAAGAATTTGCGCTTATACTGTCTCATTTTTATTCGCGTAAATTATTACAGTTGAAATATTTTTGAATAACTTTACTGGAAATGACTTTTGCGCATTTATTTTCTTGTATGTGTACATAGGGTACTACTGCTACTACTACTACTACTACTGCTAATACCACAACAACACCAATAACATCAAAGTCTTACAATGTAGGAATGAATGATCATAATGATACTGCAGTTCCTCAATCAATACCAGTAATCTCATCATCATCGTCATCATCATTCAATCGCAACAATCAAACTGGTCATGATTATCATGAGAATAATGTAGAATTAGGTGAAGATGAAAATGATACTGCACAACTTGATGATAATTTACTCAATGACGATATGGTGTTACTTTCAAATAGAATTGATAACGAGAAATAGTAATCATAATCATGATAATAATAATAATCATTGTAAACCTCAACCAGTTCAAAAGTATCATTAATCATTAATCCGGTTGCTCAATTTAACGAACTCTCTTTCATGATGACTTGAAATTCTTCTTTTTCTATGTTTTTAAGCTTTTTGTGATATATATATATACATACATTAACCATTTTCCAATGAAAAGAGAGAGAGAGAAATTGGTGTTAATTGATGCCCCGACATATCAAATGGTCTTTTTTCGGCTCTATAGGTAACATTGTTTACCCTCTCATGTGATTGGTTTTTTAAAAGGGCAGTTGTGTTCCACACATAGACGTATGCATACATACACATTTACATTTGTGAATTTCAAAAAAAAATTTCTCTTATCTACATAGTTTCTGTGTTATTTTGTCTTTATTTATATTTAAGGAATATGAAACATTTTTTCGGTTGTTAGAATTCATTGATGTTAGTACGCAGAATTTAGGTAACGCGTTGGAATTGTACGCAAAGTAGTAATAGGTGTATCATCCACTCGTTTCTAAATCCCAGCATTCTTTCATGTGTAACTTCGCACCGTGTCTTTCTGAACTCGATTCGCAATGTTCCGTGTTTGTTGTTATTTCTGCCACTTAATGATATTTCAGTCTTTCTTGCAACTGATCTTGTAAATGTTTTGTGCTAATGTAGTGTAGCCATCTGTGATAAGCCTCATGTTGCTGACTGGTCGCCATGTAGTTAAGATTATGGAGAGTTATATAACATGTATTTCTATTTCGGTAGCTGCGGAAGAATATAAGGGGGACTTGAAATTTGTCACTAGCAGTAAATAGTTCCCATAACTGTCGAATTGCCTCAGGCTTATAGAATGAACTGGGGAGTGAAATCAAATCGAAACTTAATCGCTTCAACTATCAACTGGCAGAATAGACATCTGAAAATGTTGTGGAATGATACCAAGGGAAGTGGCCCGCGATCTAACTTCGATTTGGACGAACAATTGAATATTCTATGGGGTAGAATTTCCTCTCGATTTCCGTATATCATGCTTGTGTGAACCGTGTTTGTGCGACGGCGCTAACAGGAAGCCAAATAAGGTCCGGTTGGATGAGTTTATTTCATGCAATTGTTCACGCAGACAGACACGAGAATACAAAGCGCGAAAGCAAAGTGAAGTGTAGAAGGTGACTGAGCCAACTCCTTGCAAAGAGTCATGATTGAGTAAGTAAAGTCTGACAAAGATAGACTAGATGACACGCTAAGTGAACAATTCACATACGCATTGAAGTGATAACAAACAACATATTAGGTAATCATTGTCAGGCTCAAAAGACATGCAAACAATAATTCGGGAAGAAAAGGCTATTTAGTTTGTTCAAAGGCTGGGACGAGCCACGTTTGCTCGACATATTAATACACACATAGTGCCCATCTAGTTCTTCGCTGGGATCTTTCACGCGTTCACCATTTTCGGTAAGCGAGAACGAGATCACGAATTAATGACACAATAAGTTTCTCATATCCACTGCCAGAAGTAACTGAAATAAATGTGATTGATGTGGTGTGGTAAGTGTATTTCACAAGTACCCAGAAAATACAATGATCTCATCCATATAAATCGAGTTCATTCATACACCATAGAAAAGTCTTTTGGGAAATAGCGTACTAAAAAACATCAACGAAAGATAGTCAGTGATTGTCCTGATTAGAAATGTAATCTCATGGTCAACTGATCAGCCCATAAATCATACGTAAAACTGAGAGATATTTCAAGTGAGTTCTGAGGATCTAACGTGCCCAACACTCAATCCATTTTTAAAAGCGTGCAGTTTGACTGTAGTTCACCGCTGTCTAAGAGGATACCTTCCGGAACGGAGATCAGCTTGTTTTTGAATTTTTTTCTCATTGTGCGGCTACCAGCAAATTGAAGGTGTCCAGCAGCATGTCGATCTGAAGATTAGCTACTTTTGTTAGGCTTTTCGGGGCTCAGTCAGTCAGTCAGATGCAACGTAGAACTTCGTACGTAAGTACATCAGTTCATGTTGCCATACCACATCAGCACAGAGATGTAATTGTCAATTCAAATCCAATAGTAGTAGAGGTAGTAAGGGAATTAGAAGTAATCGGAGAGGTTAGGGTTAGAAGATACTATTCAAGAAGTATGATTCAGTGAGAAAAGTTTAGAGAGTCGAAACTAGAGGTGTTGAAGAATCCAGAAGATTAGGGTTTGAGACAACACAAAGAATAAATGCACTGGCGCCATTGTGAACGATTTTGAGCCATGTCATTCAAGGTCTCTAACCATCGATTATTATCATCTCGCGGACCCCAACCAGGTAGTCGACAATTACCGACATGGCTCAGTCCACTAGTCAATGACTTCATGGATTTCTGCCATGTTTTGGTTTGGCCGCCCCTAACTTTCTTCCAACCTATTCCTACACTACAAAACAAAGTTCGTCAAGGCAGTCGGTGGTTAGGCATACGCAACACATGTCCCAACCAACTCAACTGATGAAGTTTCATTACTTCATCTATTGATCTGCCATTCTTACCTAAAACCCGTTTCCTAATAACAGCGTTGCTCACTCGACTGTCCCAGGATATACGAGCAATGCTTCGAAGACACCTATGATCGAAAACCAGTAACCTACGAATATCTTCTACTCTCACTGGTCATGTTTCACAGCCATAAAGTAAGACGGAGTGAACTTCTGCACAGTACACTCGTCCTTTGATTAGGGAACGGATATCACGCCTACGCCATAAGTGACGCAGGTTGGCAAAAGCCAATCGAGCCTTCTGTATCCGAGCTGAGATTTCGTCAGTCACCGGGCCATCGGCACTGATGAGACTCAGTGCTTTTCGGGGCTAGCCGTTTGCGTATCTGATTTTGATGGCGTGACCATCTATCGCCTCCCACCTCGTACATGACACGACCAACTCTTCTGACCAGTCACACTCCCGTCCAATGACCATGGTTTTTTCTGTCGTTACGGACAAACACAGGATATCCCATTTCATACATGGATTGCCTTTCTGACTTTGTCTGTACCGGTTTCGATGCATTACTCAGATGCAGCAGGCTGTGAATGATATGATATGATATCCATTAGAGATCAGTATGCATAACTCCTGGCTATGGATTTTGTTCGTCAAACCCCCAGGATTACCAAGGTGAAACTGTCTCAGCAATTAGGCTCGCAAGGATTCTGGTACAGTCAATCTTTCATAAAGTATTAGGCAGTCGCTTAGGATGGCTTAGTGAATCCCGCCGCTGATACATCTGTTCTATGTAACAATCGAACTTCTTATACGGCCAACAGTTTAGTGACACAGTTCATCGTCATCTTGATGATGATGTGATTCCTAGAAGCGTTTTGTATGTCTGTTGCAGAGACCGGTAAAGACCATACTGCGGTTGTCAGATAAAGTTTTGCTCGGTATTTCGCTACCAGAGATTCTGTTACCATGTTTTCATCAGCCGCCACTTGATCATTAGTGCGTCGTGATAAAGGATCTGCTAACCGAATTGTAGAGTGCGTCAATCTTGGATTTCAAAATCATACTCCAAATGTAGCAAGGCCCATCTCTGAAGGCGATTTGCAGAATGGACCGAAATGCCAGATTGTGAACAGAATATTACTAGCGGAGGCTTATGATCTGTCAGAAGCGTGAATCTATTTAGCTGTAATTCTTTTTTGTTGAGATGCATGCATAACGGCTTTTTCAAATCCGTCTGGAAACTATTGTGAAAAAGCAGCACTTAGGCCACACGCTAAAGCGCCTGCAGCTACGATGATCGGCATGGATAGATCGTAGTGTGTTAATGACAATTCTGAGCTAATTATGCACGTGGGTTTACCAAAGTCCGCGTCGTACTCTCTAGTCCAGTTCCATGTTCTGTGCTTCTGCAGTAGAAAATTCAATGGAGCGCGAATATCATACATCGAGGAAACAAACGCTGAATAATAACCGGTTAATCCAAGGAAAGATCGTAATTCAGAGACATTAGTACGAGTGGGCATCAGTTTGATAACTCGGATGTTCTCAGAATCCGGTCTGCGGCTGTCGACATCAAACTTACTTACTTACGCCTGTTACCCTCAATGGAGCGTAGGTCGCCCACCATTTTTTCACCAACCAACACTGTCCTGGGCTTCCCTTTCCAATTCTGTCCAAGGAGTTGTCTGGGCTTATTAACTAGGAATAGCATGTTACCATATAATATAAAGTGGTTACATTTGTTACAAATATGACGCGTAGCGAGGGATTGGTCTCTTTGTTAGTGTGCCGATTTCGAGGTGTTCTTACGTTTCGTAATTAGCTCGTTCAGACAATCGTTACTAAATGGAGTCTGACGGTTAATATATCAGAAAATGAATTCGAAGTACTGGATACGTTTATTGTGGCACACCACAAAAGGATAGCAGACCACAAGCAGACCGGGCAGACGCACTAGCGAGCGGATATGCGAATGGGCGAATGAATGAATGAAATTAAAATGTTCGTATATAAACAAATAAAAATATCTGAGTCATCGTGATATTTAAGAGATTAATACTAAAGCGAATAGGATGCATATGCGCGTAGACGTTAAGCAATGCTCAGTCATACTTGCTCATAAAAACCACACTATAATAAAAGCCAATGGTACATATAAGTTATTGTTATACAAATGGCTTGGTTAAATAAATTAATCGAAAAACTTGACTAAATTAAATGTAAGCGGATGCAAATAAATGTGGAGGCACTACATCTTAACTCCCTTATGGATGGCTTATTGTTCCCATATAATTCTCTTTGATATACAATCCGTAAATCCGGAATTGCTGCTTGCAGCGAGGACTAGTCGGTCTCCATTGCCGTACACAGGATTGCTGCAACGGTACCTCTGGACAGAGGAAGGTGAGAGAGAGCATCTGTGGTGGTGTTTCGTTCTCTGAGCTGGTTGTTTTGATTGGTCACAACCACAATCATCCACCTGAGCCACAAGTTTTCTCCACCATCTCGACAGCATCTGCATTGGTAAGTCTATTCCCCGGTCACGAAGAGGAAACTGCTTCACATACAAAAGGAATTGCACTGATGCTCTCCAAACAAGCACAAAAGGCACTAATAGGATGGGAATCTCATGGACCCAGGATCAATAAAGCATCTTTCAAAACAAAGAAAGAGGACATTACAATGAACGTCATCCAATGCTATGCACCTACCAATGACTACAATGACGGCGGTAAACATCAATTCTACGAAAGCTTGCAGTAAATCGTCGAGAAATGTTCACCAAACGATTTGACCATTTTGATGGGAGATATGAATGCAAAACGGTGACACATTTGCAAACCTTTGTGCCTTCAACAAACTGGTCATCGATGGCACAATATTCCCAAACAAACGCATACACAAAGTTACATGGATTTCACCGGACCACAATGCTCACAACCAAATCGACCATATCTGTATCAACAAAAAGTTCAGAAGGACTTTGGACGATGTGAGAACAAAGAGAGCAGCTGATATAGTCTCAAATCAGCACCAACTGGTCGCTAAAATAAAACTGAATCTCAAGAAACACTGGAAAACGGGGCAGACAACATCACACAAGTTTAACACAGCCTTTCTTCGGGATAACGTAAAACTCAACGAATTTAAGATAGCTCTTACCAATAGGTTCCAGGCCTTTCAGGATCTACTCAATGGAGAGGAAGCAACATTGGAGTA